CAATCAGTGTCCTAGTGCTGTAAATTTCTGCAGAAGAAAAAGACTGAGTGCAGGACATCATCATGAGCAAGGACAGTCAAGCAGGGGATTGAGGTATTTATTGGTGCTAAAAGCTAGAAAGTTATTCTGTCTGGCAGCTCTGAACTTCTTGTTTTATAATTAAAGAGGCCTGAGACTCTTCTCATTTGATAACGTATTCCAGCTGTTTAGACTTGAAAGAAAAATACTAGAAGCCATGAGACTTGAACAAAGTCATGAAAGACCAGAGCTCAACAGGAGCTCAGACTTCAGACAGGCAGGGTTTTCTTGTGAAATAAAAAACAAGCTTTAAAAATGATACTTCAGCTAAGCATTATACTCTTATTATGCTGTCCATAAGTACACTTTATAGGTTTGACAAGAGAACACTTACAAAAATTTAGTCCAGAATGAAAGTAATCCAGATATATCAAGATGAGCAGTATGTTTGAAACTTTGCTCTCAATAGCTCCTTTTAAGACTATGAACTGCCGCATAAATGAGGAAAGACAATACAAGATTTATTCCAATAACGAGTTCCTCTTTATTTCAGGATGGATTTAGTTACAGGGCAATCACGTAATGTCACTTCCCCTTAGTATTCCTCCAACCACTGACCATTTTAACCTTATGGGTTTTCCTGAGTCTACTATAGTTTGCCTGTTAGTAATGTCTAATGTATTTCTTTTTCGGGTGCTTTTCCAGTCTCTCTGTGGAACCATGTACTATGTGCAGACACAACATTCTTGTCAAGATGTTCTCCAATGACGCTATGTGTTGTGAGATACTAACTTTTCCTAGTTTTAAGCCTGGATCTCATTAGCTTAATATTCCCCAATTCTTGGTTAGGCAAAGGCAGTGAAACTTGTCCTGATGAACTTCTGCACTCCACTGAGGATTTTGTAGACTTCTTTCTAACCTACCTTATATTGTCACTTTTCTGAGCTGAAGAGCCCTAAACTATTTAACTCATAAGTTTTAAATTCATACCCGAGATTATCCCACATGCCTTTCTCTTGACCTTTTCCAGTTCTTGTAGATCCTATCTGTGATTGGGTTTAAACCACGACAGTGATGAAGACACAGAAGTGCACAAAGTAAGCAAGGTGTGGGCGAACCATAGATTTCCACAATGCTGAGCTGATGCAAGGGGTTATGTTTTATGATTCATAGTGGTCACTGCTAAGAAACACCATTTTGTATACAAAGCTATTACTGGATTTCCCCATGTGCATTGTTTCACACTTCCTGAGATTGAAATTCACCCTCAAACATTCATGCTATCATGCACACCTTTGGGTATATAGCATATATCCTAATTGTCTTCTATAGCATATGCCCTAATTATCTCCTTAGAGAAACACTATTCTAGTGGTTATCAACATAGACATCATGTTATTTTAAACACTTTGAACTGGAAAAAATTGCAAAAAGAGATTGAGTGACGTTAGGATGACCTCTGTCCCTCTCATGTATCAGCATAGATGTAGCTAAACAGACACTGAACCCAAACCAGAGCATAGTCAGCCTAAGGAATGTTTATCAAGGCACTACCAACTCTAACTGTCCCTGTCCAGTCCCCCAAGGGCTCCTCCTACCCTGCCCAAGGCCCAGGACTCCGTGTCAGGGGTGTCAGCCCCTGCCCCAGCAACTCCGCAGCAGGGCCAGTCTCCAGCTCCCCACAGCCCTACCCAGCCATGGGTCCTGCTGAGCCAGACTCACCCAAAGGCCCATGTCCCAGCCTGTCCTTGGCCCACCCCTGTACCCAGGGAGGTACCCAGTGCTGGGGCTGGGGCTGCCCTGATCCTGGCTGGGGTGAGACAGCCCATGGCTACCAGCCCCCTTCAGAAATGCACTGAAATTTTTATTTTATATATATGTATATATATATATATATATATTTGGTGCACCTATTGAGCAAGGAGAAGAATTCCAAGTTAGCCAACATCTCATTCAGGTATTGCTACTTCTAAAATTTATGTGAAGGGGGTATGCCAAAGCCAGCTTCTAAGATATAGATATACAAAACCAAGAAAAATAAAGGTATGAAAAAAAGAACAATAATAAACTTCAAAAGCATGGGAAAAATAAGAGAATTAAAAACATACAGAAATTTTTTTAAAAGTCAATAACAATGGGAAATGGATTAATTTTATTTCATAACTTAGTTTCCCTGCCCTCTGCTATGCTTGGAAGTGTCTCACATGGCAGGTGCAAACAAAGGAAAGAATCTTAAATCGTGATCTTTTTATGTTTGTTTGGTTTGGGATTTTTATTGTTCTTATATACACAAAAATGTCCAAGCACATTTATAGATGATTATATTGCTAAACAAGAATTAAAACAAAATAACAACCCTACCAAACACAAAAACCACCCCTTAAATCTCAAACAGAAGGCTATACATTCATGTCTTCTCAGTAAAATTACATTAAACACAGAGGCAACTAAGTAAGCATGTTGCTCAGGACCCATATTCCCTACGCCAAAGGCAATATAGTCATGAACTCCTCAATAACCTCTAAAATGGCAATCTCCATATACATGTACATGTTTATATGTACATACATGTATGTCAACTCACACCCATTGACCAAGGAGGGTAGAAGTCTTGCTACCTTATGATGCCCCAGTAGGACATGCCCCAGTGTCAAAGAACACTTTAAAAACCAATTTCTTCTCCTCATCCCTAAAAAAACTCTTCAAAACTTCACAGTATACACCATGGGACTTAAAAGATTGCTGTTGTTGGGTTCATTTAGATACTCCTTTCTCAAGGAATAATCACACTCAAATGGGAATTTTTCCTAATCTGATCTGACTAAAAGCTAGCTGGTAAAATGGCAGAAAGAGGTACCTGAATGAGCAATCCTTCCTCTTCCCTTTTAGACAATGTCGGAAGAGGTATGAAGGGCTATGAAGAGCTGGGTGAGGCTGGAGAGAAGAACATTTTCAGTCATTTGTGAGCATCTTTTCTCTCTTGCAAAAGGAGCAGTTCAGTATTTTTCGAAACATAGCAGATGATGTCCAAAGTGCAGTTTCTGCCCTTTTGGCTCTGTTTGGTGTCAGTTGCAGATCAGGCACATAGCAGCATGTTTTAGGAGGCACTAGGTGCTTGAAGATCAGGTTCAAGATAAAACAGGTTCAAAATTTGCCTTAGAGCTAGGACAAGTAATGATTTTCATTGTAAAAATACTTGCATGCTAAAAAAAAAAAAAAAAAAGATGAATTTTGAGGAGAGAGATTTCAGTATAACCTCCGAAAATGTTCCTGCCACAGCAAAATGCTGAAAACGGTTTTTGTAGTGAGAAAGCTGGAATTCTGTGAAAGTGGATGGTGAAGGGGCTTGCACAGCAAGGTGGACTCATGCAGAAACATATTCAGTGGACTGCCTTTTAGCACATGTGAGGTGATTTAAAGTAGCAAGTTCATCTCACGACACATATGCACACAGCACAGAGGCTGGTAGCGCAGGGTAGCTTCCAGGCAAATTGATGGAAAAGTTTGGACAGGTTTTATATCGCTAGGGCTGGCCTTGTGGGCATAAAAAGTGCAGATCAATTAAAACCAATACTGTGAAATGTGACAAAACACTTCAGATGGCTTTTAAAAGGTAGTCCTAGGTCCGCTCACATTTATCCTTCTCCAGTAACTGACTATACTTTAGCAGAATATAGGACATACAAATATTTTACTGTTTCTTTTGTGGTTATCCAGCTTCTATCATGAAGAAACTCATGGTGATTAGTGGTATAAAACTGTGCCTTAACCATGTCGTACACAAAGAAAAAAGTCAGATTTTAAGGGCCTTGAGTGTTGCCTTTTACTTAGGCACAGGAACTCAGAAATCACTACAGGCCTGCTCAAGGCAGACCTAGCATGTGATGTCTGAACCAACTGTCCACGATGTCGAAGACAGCCTCATACTCAGCACTGGGTGGAGTGACAGTGCACAAAAGGATACCATATAGCTTTCTCTTGCTTGTGAGGGGGAGCTCATCTGGTGCTGCCAGGTGTTTATTGACTCTTCTCTGCCAGTGAGGCCCAAAGGCATGTAAAAAGCTGTAAAGACTACAGAAAAAACTTTCCCTTGTTCTGTCCCCAGCGCATATTCTGTAGCAGTTGTCTTTCCAAGCACGTAGGCAGTTCTTGAGTTGTGAGAATGATTAAACCATGACATAGTATATGCAAACAAGCTGGAGAAGGATATTTCAGAGTGGAGTCCCAAACACAGGACTGCACATCAACCTGCCATAACCTGTTTCCAGCGTACTTGGTCCTTCTCCCATCCTCAAGCCTTGCTTTCATTTTTTTTTTTCCTTTTTCTTTCTGTTTATCTACTTGAAAGAAGTACATTTTTGACATCTGACCATAGGAACAGGGTTTTAGCTAGTTGCTGCTGACACAGAATCACTCCAGTCTGTGGTTGAATTCTTGTATATCCAGCTGAAAATCTGGTTAATAATCAACACTATCACCGTAAAAAAGGTAAAGTTGCTGCCTGTACACTATATAAAGCTAAATTCTCTGCTGAGGGGGATGGTGCTTCTGTCTATAGCCTGTAGGGAATTGGTGAAAATGACATGTTAATACCAATCGCATAAGAGCAGCAGCATTGTTACTGTAGTAGGTCAATGTGAAAAATATCTGTTTTCTTAAATCAACTGCTCCCCACTGTCCTGAGAAATTAATAACTTCAACAAATGAAAATATCCATTCAGAAGCTGAAGTAGTCTTAAACTACTAGCTCTTGCTTTCCTTTCATTGTATGAGATATTTTGCTGTTTAAAATTGAAATAAGTAAGTCAACGTAACCTTTTCAAAGGTTACTGTGGTTTGGTTCTGATAAACAGTTGGGCGACTGTTGTGGTAAATTCACAGTGGGTATGCATTATGCATTAATGGTAGAATGACAAGCCATTTTTCTCATTCTTTTGTAGAAATACAAGACAGTAAGCAGTACATTAAAAAAAAAAACAAAAAACAATTCAACAAAACAAACAGAAAACCAAACCCACAAATAAAAAACTCAGCGCATTGCTTATAAAAATAACTCACCCCAAATCCAACTTCAGTGTATGCTGTAGTTCATATACAGTAATATTTCACATTCACCGAGAATCACAAGCCTTTGGTTAAACACTGAGGTCACACAACCTGGAATTATTTTTTGTTCTAAACTTATCCCTTGCTTTCATGCAGTAGGACTAATTCCAGGCCAACACTTATTAATCAATACCGGATTTGCTTCAGTGCCTTCTTGAATAAACTCAGTTCCTCCAACGCTTCCATTTCTTAGCAGAAAATACTGAAGTACGATACAAGTATGGCTTGAGGTCTATCACTGGAGCAAGGTATTTTGAGGGTAGCTATTCAAAAAGAAATGTTTTCTGTGTCTACTCATGGATCTCATGCCTTTCTTCTAGGGATCTCTAAGGCTAAAAAACACTCTCTCGCCTTTGCAAATAGACCTTTACTCCCTCTAACCCATCCATAGGTCCACTTGACATCGACCTGGCTGACATGGTTCTTCCAGAGAATAAGCTTTCCCTTCTGGTTTCCAAACTGTCGCTGAGCAGGACCTTAGGGCGAAACACTTCCATGAATTTCTGGTAAAATTCTTTGCATGCAAAATAATAAATGAAGGGATCTATGCAGTTGTTCAGGCAACTGAAGCATAAGGTGAGCTTGTAGGCAGGGTACAAACTCCTGCCATAAAACAGGCGGATGATCATGTGCACAAGTAGGATAAAGTTATTGGGGGCAAAGCAGGTGACAAATACCAGAAGGACTATTATTGCCAGGTATATGGATCTAGTCTTCTGCCTGTTACCATATCTGCTCGATGTCTGAATAAGCTTCCGAATTATACCAATATAGCACCCAACTGTTAAAACAAAAGGGATGAGGAAGAGCACGACAAATAGTGTGAGGAGAAAGGCTACCCAGGCTGCAAAGTTGGGCAGCATATCCCACTTGAGGACATCGAAACAGGTTATAATCCCCAATTCTTTCACTTCGTAGGTCAGATCCGTGCTTTCTAGCGGGTAGAAGGCCAGTAACAAGAACATCCACATACCTAGGCAGGCAGCCAGGGCATATCTTTTTCTTCTCCACTTAATCAACTTCATGGGATATACCACACCCATGTACCGCTCAATGCTGATGCAGGTCATGGTCAGTATGGAAGAATACATGTTGGAGTAGAACATCACAGTCACAAGGCTGCAAAGAGTCTTGCCAAAGGTCCAGTGATTGCTTTGGATGTGATAAGAAATCTGGAAGGGAAAGCAGCTGGCGAGCATGAGATCTGTGATGCTTAGGTTGATCATGAAGATAACTGAAGGTGTTTTGGGTTTGATGTGCCAGCAGAGTACCCAAAGGGAGAACAAGTTGCCAGGGATGCTGATCAAAGCCACCAGTGTATACACAACTGGAAGGGTGATGGAGATAGCTTTATTCTGAAGCATTGCCAGTGTTTCACTGTCCAGGTGGGATCCGTTTTTAACCATTATTCACAAGGTGGATGTTGATCCCTATAAACCCACTGGATCATATCATGAACACTTGGCTTAGAAACCTAGAGGACAAATGTCAAGAGAGAAAAGAAATGTCAAAACAGAAATTAAGAATGTACTTCTATTAATCAAACTAAAAAAAAACCACCAAAACCCTTGTGTAGTTTGACAGATTATATATTTTTATATTTCTTTTATTTCCAATGAGAGAAGGAGAACATGCAATCAATTACTGTTGGTATATTCATGACATAAAGAGAATAAATAAAAACCACCATGTATAATTAAGAACAAGGGACAGATTGCATTTGCTTGGACTGGTTTGCAGGCTGAAGGGACCAGGCCTACAGAAGTAACAAACCCTCTTCTAACAAAAAGAACAGCTATTGAGTTTCAATTTCTGCAAGATTTAAGTTGTTAAAAAATGTTCTGTTTGCAACGGTCTTTCTGGCATCACCTGTAATTTGGCAAAATTGAATTCAGTTTTGCAGTCTGCAAAGTAAAACAGTTCTTTCACTGGCTGGCCTATATAGATCTTTCTTGGCAGACACAATAGTTATGGTTTAGCTCATTTATTTCATACAGCATAGTAGCATTTTAGCAGCTGCAAGCAAGAACTCATGCCTCAATGTGCCTTATGCATGCATGCTTACTTTCATTAAGTTCTTCTTTTCTTGGTGCCGCTGACTAGCTGGAAGTAACCATTCTGACAAAAAATGTGATTTCTGACAGAGGCTCTTACTGAGTAACTTGCTAGACCTTTCACAAAATAGCTGTTGGTGATTCCTGATACCTGGTGAAGGTGAAGTCTACTGAAAGCTATCGTGCAGTAAAGATATACTTAACTCTAAAAATAAAAGGAGTGCAGACCTGGAAAAAGTATAGCTACAGCAGCAAGAAGCTCAGTGGGGGCTTATTTCTGTTGTTTCTTGATCTGATCAATCTGACATAGTGCTTCAAATGTCAGCTAGAAATATTCAGAAGGAGAGTCAGTATCGAACAAAGGATGTTAACTAATGTTGCCAGTCTTCCAAGAGCTTCCAGCTGAGCTGTTGGAAGCCCGAGAAAAGGCACAAGAAAATAGGAATTGCAAAGCAATCAGAGATGTGTTCATAATATATCACACGTGTGAAACAAAGCAAACATGTTGCAAGTAATGAGCACATCACATGATCACATCTGCAAGAAGCCCTTTGAGCCAAATCCATTGCAAATGAAATTTTGTTCTTGTCAGTGGAGCTATATCAAGAATGAAACTAATCTTCAGTTTTCAGGGGAACTTGAAAAATGGCTCACTGACACAAAGCTCTTGGAAAAAAACCTTAATACTTCTATTTCAACTCTTTTATCTATGACTTACTATAGTAAATACATATTCATGAACTTTATTTCCTCAAAAATCCTTCCCAAGTGGCACCCCTTTGTGCCTAACAACCCTAAAATTTCTCAAAACAGATTTTTTTTATTTACATGAAAGTACCTACAGAGCTCTATTAATAAGCCTTTGTAAGTGAAAGATATTTGTTCTCGCAGGATAAGGGATCTCAACCCTAGATACTGTTCCAATAGAAATTGCATGTACTTGGGAGGTAGGAGTAGGTGAAAATTTCCATTAAGTCTGTCACACTGGTTATAAAGCTATTGAATACCTCTTATGTTCAGGTTTGGATTAGTGCTGATCAGAAATCTATTTTGTTCTAAACTTGCTTTTTCTGCAGTAATGAAAACTGTGTCATGGCCTGGCTAAAGGCCTTTTTATGCCTTTGTGGAGTACTATGATCAGTAAAACACAAGTGCCTCTCAAATTTAGGCACCCTTTGAACAGGGCTTGAAAGGCACCAGACTTTGTGTTCAAGTGCCTACAAGAGCTCTCCAAAAAGGGTATGTACCCTTGGCGTAGTCTCCAATCTGCATAGTAAGGAAGATGTCTATCAGAAGGAGCAAAGTAAGAATGATGCAATGGTTTGCTAGTGTCTTCTGCAGGGCATACAGAGTAAACAAGACTTGTTGCAAGTCACTCTTGAGAGCAAGAAGCCTCTTCAGGAGATGCGTAGTGCAGAAAATTCTTCTTCAAACTTTGTCTTTCCTTTTGCCAAATCCTTCTGGGGCTCTAATTCTGAATTCCTTGTTCAGGATTACTGGGCTAGCAAAATCCCTGCTCTGAGTCACCCTTATTTGTGATGCTTTGCTTTTAAATGCTGCTGGAACCACAAGCTGCTGGAACCACAATGTCACATTAACGTACTTTACCTCTCCCATTATTGCATCTATTTGGGTTTAGTTAATACTGTATTTATATTTTCATCTTGTTCAGGGTAATTTTATGTTCTTCCCCCACTACAACCACGTCTCTGTTTGCATCTTGTTGTTTAACTTAAAAATGTCATAAATCAAACGAGAAAGTAATTTTTATGAGTTTTAGATTCTCCTTACATTTTATGAGTTGCTTCCTTTCAATTTCAGATTTTCAATTCAAATCAGTGGAGCCTGCATGGATTCTAAAAAACCATGGACTGTAAAAAATAAACTCTCAGCTAAGGTTTCAAATCCATAATATGTAAAAATATAGTCTTATTACATAAATATCCCCGTTAGAAAGATATGCTTTTGCTTTTATGTTGGAGAAAGCTATATTTAAACTACAACAAATGAATATACAGGTAAACTGAAACAAAAACTCAGTGAGGATTCTTCAAGTGAGGAGATCCTGTCTTACTACTATTTACATCAGTCCCCAAGCTTCTGAGATACAAAGAGAAAATGTTAAGCTCTTCCGCTGGCCTCATTTCTGAAACATTTAGTGGTTGGATGTATTTTAGTTTTATATTAGTACCAAGAGCACCTACAGCCTCTAAAGTATTGCTTGCTAAATCCAGGTAGGATTTTTTCACTTGTCTTCTCACTGGCTCATGGCACTCTGCACAGAAATCTCACTTACTTAGAAATTCAGTAGCACAGGTTTTCATCCAAGCTGTAACTGTAAGCGAAGGTGACAGCTGCTTGGTGCCTTTTTGACAGAAACAGTAATTCCTTTCTCTGTAATTGACAAAAGATGACAAAACACTAAAGGTTATACCAAACATCAAGCAGTAAAAAATCAGAAGAGTATTATTTCTTTGCCATGGAACAGTAGCAATAAAGATGTGTCTACTTCTGTTTTAGGGGACTACTAAATTAAACTGATGTGTTTCCTCTCTTGCATCTATTCTTTTCCTGTTGTTGGTCAAGTGCACATGTGAGAAAGACTGAAAAGCCTGTGAGCTTAGTGAAAACCAGAATTACTGTTTTATAAAAATTTTTATAATTTGTTTTGTGATTTGAGATGGAATTAAAAACCTCAGAACTTCTCATGCAGCAGACAGCCATCCAAAACTTATTCTGCTTCATAGTTTTTGGTTCACTATTTGTCAAAGCACTATTGTGTAGAAGAAAAAAAAATATCAAAAATTCATAAATTCTTTGATATAGTTACACTTTTGGAAACTCACCCTTCCGGCTGAAGGCTATGGGATGGCTTGTTTCAGATTAAAGGAAAAACCTGCAAACTGAAATGCAATTTCAACTGAATTGCAAACAGGTTCAGAATGAAGCACAATGAAAGCACAGATTTTATTGTAAGCATTTAGAGAAATAATATCAACAGTTTTTAATGAATGCAAATGTGGCTGAAGAATATATTTTGTCTCTCAAAAGACTGCATTTTTTGTTTTTGTTTTTTTAATAAATTTTCTACGTGTTCAGTTTTATATTATTACAAAGCAGTAAAAAAAGCAAAAGTGTGAGGCTAGTTTATGTCTACCTTAATGTAGCTAACACTGGAGAAAACTCAGTGACCTTCAGTGTGTATTGCTCCTGCTGGGGATTCAGCTCCTTCAGAACTGTCTGAATTGCTAGTGAGATGAAAGAATATTAGACAAGAACAACCAACAGACACTTAATTTCTATTGTAGACTGAGTATGAGGAGAAGAAGGGACCCGGAAGGAAAGGAGCCAGGAGGCAGTCATCTTGAATTGTAGGAAAAGTGACAAACGCTTTGATACCTAGATAGAGTAAGGGGTTTAATATCAGAGACAAGAAGAAAAAGTGCCCTTCTGTAACACATTTCAGTTATTGTTCCTAAATCATCATTGATGCAATTCAGAGAAACACTTCTGCAGATGCTTGTTCACCAAACTGAGGAATGTAAATGAGTCCATCTCTGACTGCATGTTCCTTAAACTGAACAGGGGCTTTACTGAAAGAGGCTGCAGATTTTTTTCTGGATGGTTCTTTCTCACCCTTGCAATAAACTTTCAGGCAAATTTTAGCTTGTGGGTTTACATCTCTAAAAGCCAAGGGTTTGGTTCCCTCAGTCAAGATCTGAACCCAAGTCTTCTAAGAAACTTCTTTGTAGTTGGCCTTCCATGTTCTTTTTGCCCATTTCTTTTTTCTGTTTCTGCTGTTTTGTTCTTAGTATATTGCAAAGATCAGAAACTGTTGCTGAGCCCATAGTTATGTTACCACAAGGCATTATTTCATGCTAGTCTTTAGCTTCTCTTCTTTTAAGAGTAAATACATCTGGGAAATGAGACTTTTACACTCTGTGCACTTATGCGTACAAGTACTTTGAGCAAACAAAACAAATCTGAAAACATCTTACTAGCTGCAGTATTCTTGACCTTCTATGACATTTCGCTTTAGAAAAATAAACTGTTCTCTATTTCTTATTTTTCACCGAATATTATTCAGATAAAGAGCATAGAAAACAATATGTATGCCTTCACTGCAAAATATGGCACATTTTTTACAATGAAAGAGTTACATTATAATCACTGTATTAATCAAAAACTCTTGTGGAGACACACTTCAGTCTTTCTCTTAGTACACATAGTCAAAGTAAGCCTTATGGTGGTTGTAGCTCTGACCTCAAATAGTTAGGGCAAGGCAAAACAAGAGTGTATTCTCTCCACAAGGATTTCACATTGAGAGGTAAAAAACCTCTTATCAGTAAGAAAAATGTAGAAGCATTACCATCTTTAGTGTAGTGGAGGAGTACCTGTCTGTTGAGCTTGTTAGCTATATCAATCTAGATAAAAGCATCTTTATCAAAAGAGAAGAAAAGTAATCCTATCTTTTCTGCCTTCTTAGAGAGTGCTTCTCTTCTCCAGCCTGAGACTGCAAGTAAGCAGTTTCCAAGATTCAACAAGAAAGACTTAGTGTGAAATCTAAATGTACAGGTGAGAGGCAAAGAAACACCACAAGGAAATGCTGTACTCTTTCTTCAGAAGTAGCTAAGTAGTAAAACTAACTGTAAATATCTTCCTTCACATTTCTTATGTCTGTCCTGGACTATGCAGTTTTGCTGATGGTTGATATTTAGTTTACTTGAAACTTCACCTTTGCTACCCATAAATTAGCGAAGTGAGGATTCTGTTCCGGTGTTAGTAATGTTCACCCTAATTTAGATAAGGTTTGCATAAAACCAGCCACTATCATCTGTGTAATAACCCAGTTCAGACTGAAACTAGTCACTGTGGTCTTTAAAAAGTTCATTTCTGCAGCAGTCAGGTTTATGGAAACAGTATGGCTGTGGGCCAGTATTGACAAAAAGCTCTCCTCATCTGAAGAGTGATTCTGTGCTAGTTACAGTACAAAATGAAGCGGTTTGCAGTTTCCTTTATTGGTGTGCAAGATAGTCAGCATTCTGTGAGCAAAACCTTAGGTCAATTGAAACTCAGCTTGTGTAGTTCCACTGATAGGTTGTCTAGGCTGGTTTAAATTTCAGGCGGAGTAAGCATCCTCAACTGGATTTAAAGAGGTTCCAGTTGATGGGGTAATAGCTAGAATATTATATATATGTTAGACTTTCCTAGTAAGCTTAATTTTTCCAAACCTGATATTTTTAAAAGGATTAGCAAAGCTATGGCAACACCTAAGAATTCAACAGAACAGTTCAGGAATTCATTCTGCACAACTTATACTTTGCAGTTATTGCCCATGTGCATGCTCTTATCTCCCAGCATCACAAGGTAGCTTGCCCCTTGGTGAGCTAATGCTAACTTGCACTTTTCATGGAGGAAGAACATGCATGCAAGCTGTTACTAAAATATTGCTGGTGCCTGGTGGGGACCCTTGACTTCATTAGACTACAATTTTTGTCCTATGGTGCATGGCCATAAAGAACCAGCTCTTGCAAAGCTCCTTTTAACCACTCTAGCAGACATCCTGGTACTGTGGAGTTATCCCGTGCCAGAGAGCCCTACTACCCTTGAGTTATGGGAAGATGGTGAAGATTTGTTTTTATAGAACTTTGACTGCAAAAAGTGCTCGATCAAGTCTAAATTTAAATAACACATGAACTGATTTCCTTTATAATTTTAAATCTTTCAGATATTGTCTACATCCAGGATTGACAGACAATGGTTTCTGGTCTGCATCTACTTCTACAAGTAATTGTCTCACGTAACTGTTGTGAAAGTCAGAGGGAAGAGTATAGTCAGTCATTTCCCTTCTGTCCTCAATTGTTGGCACAAGGTGTTTGTGATAGACAATAGGGCAGATTCTCAGCAGAGAATCCCCTCAGTCTTCAGAAAGCTTGATGGTCTTGTATTTGAATCTGTATGGTCTGGTTGGCATTTTACAGCACACATATATCTATATATATTCTATTTAAAATCTGCATTTTCTATTTTTCATCTCTCTTTTCTGTGAAAGCCTTTTTTGAATGTTTCCTCTCCTGTTCAGTCGACAAAGGCACAAAGGAATTGAGATAAAGCTGCATGCCTATTTTTGAAGATTGCCTTTATAGATTAAAAAATAAAAAAGGATATGGCAGTCTGTAGCTGTTGATCGAGTTAACATGATGGAGTCTACAAACAGGACAGTCAAACAAGTTTTGCAGGTGTAGCTGAAGGGATAATTTGGCATGGTATTTTGGAAATGTTTCAGCAAAGAATATAGGATAATTCTAAAATTCATGTAACGTACAGGGGCCAGAAATTGTAAACCATATTGTTAGGGATGAAATAAAGAACTTGGCTGAGCATGCAGGCCATCTTCAGGTAGGTCTTCTTCCACTACTTCCACTGATTGGTCTCAGTATGTATAAAATCTCTTTACTACCTTAGAGATAAGTAGACCTGTCCCCAAAAGCCCATGTTGGATACGTAGCAACTAGTGACTTGTAAATACAGGCTGAATTGTTGTTTGTTTTGTTAAGTAAGATCTATATGCATATGCAACCTTTTTTACCAAAGCAGTAGCGTTAGGCAGCAGGATTTGGGTATAACTAGAGACTTTCTTGCCTATTCTTTGCTACAGGTGTGTATTTAGCATCCATAAAAATGTAAGTGTCTATTTTAGGGTGAGCTGAAAAGTGTGGATGCCACTGACTGAACTGGGCAGTTCTCCAGTGACTGTAACAGGCTTATATGTAGTCACTCCCATTGTAAATGCAGGTGTTTGAAGCTGAATCCATCCCATTTTAAACATCCTGTTGATTCAGATCCTGGTTTCCTGGAGGCCTGTAATTGCCTGGATTCTGTCAAAATCTGAACTAGTCCACTAAAACATAATTGTCCCCTTTCACACTTGGACCACTGCCACTTTGAAACAACCAGGCCAGCTTCCGTGTGAAAATGAATTGGCACATAATAGGACCAAATGCACAATTTTACCTGTGCTCATCTTCTTCCACCTGTGTACCAAAACCTACAATAAGTTTTCTGTGATTGTAAAATTCTTTGTGTAGCAAAGATTCCACAGCTAGGAAGCAGTATAAAAATTATTGGGCCTTTTGTTGGTCATACTGCTGTACGTGCTCGGCACATATTATTTAGGCTTTATTGAAAGCCCAACTATAGGACTGACTGCTCTGCTCTCTCCACAAGTCTCATGCAATGTATTGGCAGTGAACTCCGGGTAGACTGGGTGTTCTCCTGGCTCACACATCAGTTAGAAGCGATTCTCACTTCAGCAGTAGCGAAGATAGATAGTCTTGGCTGAAAAATACATGAGACCAGGGACACTATAGGAGCTAAATTGACATGCACTTGGCAGCTTTCTTGCATATCTGATTTTCTGGTCCTGAAAGGGCAAGAAGAGCTAGATGTGCAGAAAGAATGAGCCTTGTTTCCTGTCAAACTGTGCCTCTTACTGGAAGGCTTTGATACAAAAATGGGCTACCGGAAGCTCTTTTGTGTGACCAGGACTGATACAGTATCCACTCATTTTAAAAGGTAAAAAAAGAAAGACCCAGGGAACTATAGGTCAGTCTCACCCCAGTGCCCAGCAGCATCATGGACCTCCTGGAAACCATACTAAGGCACATGGGAAATATCAAGGTGGTTGGTGACAGCTGGCATGGCTTCACTAAGGGCAAATTGTGCCTGACCAATTTGATGGCCTTCTATGATGGGGCCACAGTGTTGGTAGATAAGGGAAGAACAACTCATGTCATCTATCTGGACTTGTGCAAAATATTTTACGCTGTCCCACATGACATTCATGTCTCTAAACTGGAGAGATATCAATTTGATGGATGGACCACTTGGTGGATAAAGAACTGGCTGGATGGCTGCATGCAAAGAGTTGTGGTTAACGATTCAATGTCCAACGGGAGACTGGCAAAAAATGGTGCCCCTCAGGGACACAGGATTGGTGTTGGGACCAATCCTGTTCAACATCTTTGTCGATGACATGGACAGTGAGATGGAGTGCGCCCTCAGCAAGTTTGTCAATGACACCAAGCTGTGTGGTTTGATTGATACCCTGGAGGGAATGAATGTCATCCAGAGGGACCTTGATATGCTTGAGGGGTGGTCTAATGCCAGCTTCATGAAGTTCAACAATGCCAAGTGCAAGGTCCTGCATCTGGGTCGGAGCAATCCCAAGCACAAATACAGGCTGGGC